TTTGAAATTGCTACCATGGCTTAAAACAGCAGCCAATTCTCGAGAGCTATATGATCATTGGTTATAACTTGCTTTACAGCACTGTATCTGCTGAACCTCGACCTCACTCACTGACCTCTGTCAGTTTGCATACGCAGTGAAAATGGCAGGAAGAACAGCTACTAATGCCTCGTTATCAAACTGAAAAACTGTTTGTTGGAAATGTTGGATCTCTAGGCTTTAAGTTTTGAAGTTTCCTGATTATTTCCATAGAAAGAGACAGCTTCCTGATAAAAACAGATGTAAGATGTGAATTACATAAAATAGGAGCAGAACTAACATGTTACCTTCAACAACTTTATCACTTATCGTACAGCATTAGTTTAGGAAATCACAGTGACCATTAAGGACACCATGGTCATGATCAATTTTTTTTCTGCTGTGTATATATTAAAAACAATGTAAGAACAAATCCTTCTGCTTGGTTTTCTGAAGCTCTGCCAGCTTACAGTTAAAAAAAGCTTCAACTGTAAAGCAGTCAAACTCAACGTCTATGAAGAAGATGCAGCTCTGTGTATCCTACCACTAAAAAAAAGACAAGAAGAAGAAGTGAGGAAGTGGTTTTCATGATGCATTAGAAATAAAGCAACTTGTCTAATCTTAACTCTTTTATTATCAACAAATAACAGGAACCAAAATATTTAACTTGATGTCTATTCTTAACATTGTCAGTTATGTATAAGCTAGCTCACTTTTCACTTTTCTCCCAATATTAACACATATTTCCATATAAAACTGGATTGAAACATTTGACACGTCTTTGGTAATTAATCAATGTAGGCAGTAAAGTGTGTTTTAAACAAACACATCAAGAGCCTCAGCACTAGCAATCATCTAGTAAGCCCCATCAGTAAACCCCAGCTGCACAAGTCCAAGTACGTGAGGAGTAATGTGGGGATGGAGGTGAGCAGCTGTGTGTTGACTTAATCAATTATGATAGAGAAAACACTTTTAAGAATTAAACTACAATCTGAAATGAAAAAAACCCCAACAACTTTTAAACAAAAAAAAACAACTATTGCATAATATTTATTTCAGAACTTTTAAACTTTTAAAAAGCATCAGTTGTCATTAAAATATAATTTTTGGGCTGTAGTTTGGGACTCACTTCCCAGCTATCCAGTAGGTTGAAAGAACATTTCTCTTGTCTGCAGACAGGGTGAGTGACTGTTCTGAATCCAATCGGAGAAATGTTTGAAATTTCTAGAATAAATGTTCTATATCTAAATCAGATAGCACTTTTGGGGCAGTGTCTTCAGAAACGAAATGTCACAGACTGCTGCAAAAGCAAAGCTGCCTGCAAAAAGAAGAGGTGAACAGAATCACAGTGTGAGTGCTTTATTCATTTGAACATGCTACCAGGAGTGTTTTTGTCAAATATTTGAGGACATCTGCACTAATAAAGTATGACTGAAATTCCTTACATGTCATCCCTGCCACTTCACATCTCAACAACATACTGTTAAAAGGCACCTAGGTCAGGAAGTCATCTTGAGTGTCTCACGAAGGACCTTCTATTATCTGTGTTTCCCTAACACTCAGGCTGCATTATGATAAAAGCCCTTACATGTACTTAGACAGCTTTCTAATAGGTTTATTTTTGGTGCTGTCTTTTTAAGGAAGGAGGTGCTTTAAAATATAGAAATTAAGGCACCTAGTATGCACTTTTCCATTGAAAAGTGGAAGAAATGCATATCAGTAGTAAGAATTTAGCTTTTCTTACACCTCTAATCAGTGAAATGTGAAATACTTTCCAATTATGATAAATTGACAGCCCAAAGTCAAGCAGAAGTGACAATAAAAGGAAACCCCTGGGACATTCAGCGTATGAAAGTCAATTACAGTATAAACAGTTGAGATACATGGCATGTTGCTAAAAAAAACAGTATTAATACAGTAAAAAGGCCTATTACTGCTTGGTTAAAACAATGCTGTGAAACCAGACCTTAGTTAGCAATACTTATGAGGAGTGAAGATGATAAGCACTGCCTTGAACAGAGCTCGGCTGGTCTGACCTTTTAATTTGAAAAGCTTGCAAAAAAGAAGATTATTGCAGACGGATCCAGGCTCAGACGGTAAAAAAAACTGTACATCCTTGTTGCAACAGTAAAAATCTAAAAATAAGTATGACCAAAATAGAAGATCATTTACAGAGACCAATAGTGTTGACTTTATTCCTAGTAGACAGCAAAAAGTCCACCAGAACTGAGTTTTGCTTATAGAGAAGGTTCCCCAGTGACATTAATATATCTATAAATGCAGTATTTCAGCTGCACATTATCATAACCACACCATTGTTTTAGCATTCACATTTTTATTGAGTTTTATTTGAAGCATGTTTATTTGTAATTACTTTAGCTTTGTCTTCAGATATAATTTGGGGCGCAAGTGGGGGTTAGATGCAGGAGTTTGCCCTTCAATTGAATGGTTGCCGGATTAAATCCTAGCTTCTGCTTTCATTGTTGTTGAGTTTTTGGGCAATGCCTACTTACGATAGGCAGAGGGCCCGGCACCTTTGCACATAAGGCAGCTTCGCCTCTGTCAGTGAGCCCCAAAGCAGCTGTGGCTACAATGTAGCTTGTTACCTTCACTGAATGGGTGAATAACTGAATGTAGTATAAATCACTTTGGTCAAGTCTCAAGTGTGTTTCACTGATACATCAGATTTTATAGTATGATTGTATCATCATCATATCATGTAGATAATCATATGACTGAAGATGTTTTAAGGATAAAAACTGTATTTTAACACACATTTAACAGTTCTGTTTAACAACCACATTTAATATGTTTTATTTATTGAATTAAATGAATAAAAACCCATTATTAGTCTAACAAGCACATTCATATGGCATATTGAATATGGATCAATTTGCTGATCAGCTTCACCTCTTTTTTTCTTTTCTTTTTTCCTGCTGTACAACAGGGTTAGCTCTGCTAGCAGCTCCAATACTTATAGAACTGCACTTGAAACTTGTGCTATGCTGTCTGATGACGGCTAAGGTTTTTTTTTGTTCTCTAACTTGATTAGTCTCTGTTAGTCTATGTTAGTCTCTATAGTTACAGACATCTCTAAGGTTCACTAGTTTTTTTATTTTTTTGCCATTTGCCATAGCAAGACCGCAATATATACTAAAAAATTACATCGATCCAACAGGAGCCTGGATGATCATAGCAGCTGGATTTTCAAAACAGTTTACTAAAGACAGCTATATTTGCTTAAAATCTTTGCTATATGTATGAGTATATTTATACAACCGGGCAAAAAGTATTTGCCATTTATTGTGCAAGTTCTACTTAGAAAGATGAAAGAGATCTGTTATTTTCATGCTAAGTAAACTTTAACTATAAAAGATAAAATGAGGAAAAAAACAGTCTCAATGAGTAAGGATTATTTTGAATCAAGGGTCAGAAAAGTCAATTTCCATCTGTCAATCTACTAACCTGATAGATGTATCTCAAAAACAGCTTTTAATGCAAGGATGTTTACTGAGAGCGGTTGCATGTCAAAGATTTAAGGTTTTCATTTACAACATGTTAAAACCCTGTATTATAATTCTTTCACATTTTAATATGCATTTGCTGCTGTGTATGCTGTCTAAAACTATTTGATACAATAAAAGGTTTATAATTGTGATTTTCTAAAATAGGATCCAGATTAAATTGATAGAAGTGCTTTTGAAAACTGATATACAGAAATTCAAACATGATTTTTTTTTTCCTACTGTTTATTCCAACATCATCCAAATGCCAAAAACAGATGTCGAGGTAGCAGGTTACTCAATGGAAAAAAAAAACAAGGAGAAGCATGTCAGAAGCATGTCTTGTACTGAGCCTACTTTGCTTTCAGGTTGGATACACTTCATTCTAGGGTTTAGTTCCACGTGGAATTCCACATCCACATAATCCTAAATGGAATTAAGAGTCTAACTCACAGTTGGTTGCTCATTTCTTTAGCTTACATGATTAATGACTTCTGAGCAAGTCAGAGAAGACGTTTTCTTTCCAAGGATGAAACAAAACAGCTAATCAGTATAAACTTCTGTCATGTTTTGAAAGAATAAACTTGTGTTTGTCCCAATAGCAAACATCCTCTCTAATACTATTTAATTACCACAGGGATGAAACTGCAGTATATTCCCGATTATAGTACTTCGTAAAGATTTAATGTTATGTAACTAGAAATTATAGATAAGTCAGCAGCTCTAGTGACAAATAATTAAATCTCTAATAGTTCTGACCACGTCCTTTGAGAAAAACCCACTGGTAGAATTACATCTCTATTGAGATACAGTATAAAAGGAATAATGTTGTGAAGATTATGGTGTAACAGGAATGATTCTGTTTCTCGCAGAAGGAGTTCAATAAAATGATTTTGTGATTAAAGGCGACCCGCAGTGGCACTGATTGAGCCAAAGCGAAATATGTGCCATAAACGAGCTGTGCCCTGTTGGTGTGAGTCGTTTGTTTTCATCTATTGGCACTGAAAAGGAATAACAAGCCAATAGATATTTGATTTCCCTTTTCTCTATTTACTGTGAATGATCATTTATCATTATGCAACACATGTTTATCTTCAATATAGTGTCATGTAAATTTAAATCAAATATTGGAAACTCAAATCAATATACGCATCTGGAGAAGGTTTTTGTACATACATATTAATAGCTATATTTTCCTTTGTGGTATAGAAAACAAACCTGTGGCTAGAAGAAGAACTTGGATTTTCATCGAGCATGAATAATATTCAACCATCTATGTATTATGTACAGTATGTTTGGTACAGCTTAGAAGAACTTTATGTTTAAGAGGATAAAATAATCAGTCATCTATTGTATCGCCATAGGAGTGTTGGTTCCCCTGATTATAGTAATCTGCAAAAAAAGCAGGATTATGCAAATCCTAATCAGATTTCCAATTGCCAGGAATACTAAGCAACTAAAAAGAAACATTGATCATACCTTGTTCTGAAGTTAGCAGGGTGCGGATGCCCATCATACAAGGACAGGAAGTCATATTCTTCTTCTATGGCAAATGACAAGAAGATGAGCTGGATTCTACTTCCCTCTTCCCCAACAATAACCCAGGTGCAGTTTGCACCATTAGGGTAGCCATAGGGAAAACCAGGCGATTCTATACTGCCGTTTCGGCCTTTCAGTGTACCCCCACAGGTGTAGATGAAACCTGTAAATAAAAAGAGAAAACACATACAGTATTTAAACAAATATGTTAATAATGAAATTATTTGTGTAACAATGCAAAGTTTACAACCAGCTCCTCCAATTATTTGAAATTACATTGAAAACCTCTTAGGCAAGTACAACAGCGTCAGTGGTTAAAATGTCTGAAAGGTCCCCTAATGTTTCATCTAAGAAAAGTTCTGGGTAATGTTCAATTGATAAACGGTAAGATTAACTTTTTCGAAATTGCAGTTCATTGGTGCATTGCAAATGCAACAGTATTAATGTTCTACATAAACAAGTTTTTTTCTTCCTCTTAAACACAGCTATATTTACAAACAGTTTTTGAGTACCTGCTTCTGAAAAACATACATAAAACATTTTAATTTTGGTTGAACTTACTGTTACTCAAAATTACAATCCAATCCAATATATCTTTATTTTCACTGTGCAAATACAAGTGAGTAGTAAAGGAACTGATTGACAATATCTCCAATCAATAGTGGAGGCTACTGTTATTTTTTCAAAAGAATTGTTAAAACTGTCTCGTACACACAGTTATAGTAACAGTTTAAGCCTGTTCTATTCACAAGTGTGTAATTTCAGCCATGGGGATATCCATGGCTGAAATCCTGTAATCTGTTGTCTTAGTGAAGCTCCAAATACACCAGTACATCCAGAGTGTTTCAAAGGCGTCTATTGATCCAGCATGGCTCTCCTTTAAAATAGCAACATTCTAGTTTTAAGTGTCTATTTATTTCCTTCACTGTAACAGAGCTAATTATTAGAGGCGTTTTAATAGAATGTTGCAGAAAATACTGTATTCTATGTCTGGTTATAGTTGCAGTCATGCTCCTCATGTTACTCCAAATAAATGTTTATGGTAATTGTGTAAGAGGATTCGTGGTGTAGCACTTTCATCAAAATGGGTCATTGACAACTAGCCCATTAGCTTTTTAACACACACACACACATGCTGAGTAGTACTATCCTTGTGGGGACTTTCCATTGATTTCCATTTATTTCCCACTCATTTCTATGACCTAGCCCAGACCCTTACCCTAACCCTAACAGTTAAAAAACATACCTAAACTTAAACTCAATTCACACCTTAGTCCTAAACATAACCCCCCCCCACAAAGAGTACCTTTCCTCATGGTGACCAGTCGTAAGTCACCACAAGTACCTATAAACCCCCAAAATGTAGCATATTCCTAGAAAATCATTTCCTCAGGGTAACAATAACATGACCACAAACGGAGGGTGTGTGTATGTGTAATTTAAAAGTTACGATGGCACGGTCATTATATAATGATCATCATCTACAAATTGACATCTTCAGTAATGGTGAGATCCATCCATTATCTGACACGCTTGTACCAATTGGGTTCGCGAGGGGTGCTGGTGCCTATCTCCTGCTGTCAATGGGCAAGAGGCTGGGTACCCCCTTGTCCATCACAGGGTAACACAGAGACAAACAGGACATACAACCATTCACTCACACCAAAGGAGAATTTAGAGAAGCGAGTTAACCTAGCAGTCATGTTTTTGGACTGTGGGAGGAAGCTGGAGTACCCGGAGAGAACCCTCCCCGGGTCGTGAATCTAACCCATAACCTGCTTGCTGCAAGCCAGCAGTGCTACCCACTGCACCACTGAGCAACCTAATGGTAAGATAAAATGGATAAATGTTATACGAAAAATAATGATGGAATTTCTTTGGAAAAGCGACGTCCCAACAACAAACTTTGCTTTCGTGAGTTCCTGATATCCTGAGCTCCACATATCTAAAAGAAGAGACGGCACAGCAACATTTTTGTTGAGGTGTAAGATTGTTGAGGTGTAAGGTTTAAAAGCAGCAACAGCATGAGCTGGTAATCTCTTTCAGCATAGGATTCTAAAACTTAATTCCTAGAGCAACCTGGAAGCTATCACATCTGAGTCACCGAGTTTTCCAGCTGTCTTTAACAGTGAAATCAATAACTAAGCAAAGTCTGGGACTCTTTTTGTGCCTCCAAGAAATACTGTCTGACAATTCCTTTGTTATTACTATTTGAGTATCGCACTGACATCTTAAAATATGCAGCAAAAGAGATGACATAAGGTGGGTGCAGGGGGTGCAACAGACACTTTATGGTTTTTACAAAGAGAGGAGACATTTTTGAGTAAACCTTAATGAGCACAAGGATCTTCATTATGTCTCCTGGCATGTGGTACCAGGCAGGGGAGAAAATGAAAACAGCTGCTAAATTCTGAAAAAATGACATTTCCGGATCTCTATAGTATTAAAGATGTTATTCACCATGGTCTCTATCATTTAAATTCAGAATGTCAAAGAATTGCTGAAAAAGTTAGGTGAAAAACATACCCATTATAACCTCTACATAAAATAACTTAAAATATCTTGTTTCTATGGGCAAGATTTAACAATCCACTGTATATGATGCTTATTGTTTGCTGGTCCTTCTGGAATCTTCTTGTACTGAGCTTGTACAAGCTTGCAGACAAGAATAGACAAGCAGATACTTTTTCTGTCTACTTTTATATTCATAACCCATCACTGTCCAGGCAACAGATTATCCATCCCTGAGCTGTGGATCACTGCTGCTTTCTAGGGTGAACTGAAACTCTTGACTGCTTCTGTTTCTCATGTCTTGGTCTTTCTATTTCAGTCTAATAGACTGAATAGGGGTATAATAGAGGTCCAAACATCAAAATGTTGTTTTGTAACCCAGTGGTGCTTTAAATGTCTCCACAACTTTATTCTTTTTCTTGTCTGATGTATTCTTTGTTTTTAACAATACTGCTGTCATGCAGGGAATTTGTCTAGATTGTTTTTCTATTTTACAGCACTGTTGTGATTCCTGATAAATAAGTTCTACAGTTGTAAGAAAGCGCTGTGAAGTCAAATAGTGGAGGAAGCTTAGAGAGGAGAAATCTAAGGGGATGGAAAAGAATTTATGTTTTTCAGTACAGAACAACAAAGTGCAACATTTTATTGCATTAATTTTTAGTGTTTAAGACTTAAATATATTGAGATCAATAAAGTCAATCAATTAATCAAATAAGCTAAGCTATATACACAGTTGAAAATGATGTGAATTCCTACAACAGGATGCATTTGTGCATCATTCACCTTTAAACGTATGTGCTTAATTGTTAAGTGCTCTTGTTGTGGGTTTTAAGCCATGAAAAATCCTAAGCCTAAATTCATCTTCACTGAGTGCAAAGCTTAAATTAGGATGATCATCCCTTTGTCTTTCACGTTTATGAGGCTAATTATTTACCATGGCAGCCAGGGGCCACAGGGACAGCAGGATGATCGCTCTGGATGCTCCTGTGTGCTCTTGTCTTGGCAGAGATTTCGAATTTCATCATCAAATTAAAGAACATTTCTACCAAAGTGAGGACAGTTTGCTGGTACTTCCTTTTTTTTGCGAACAGCTACTGTAGGTTAAGGACTAAGATTTGAAATAAGTTTAGGTTCAGGTTAGGGTTACAATAATAATGGAGGATTGTGGGGTTAATGATATGTATGTGAATTCCTCTTTGTTCGATCCATATTTAGTTAACCAGCCAAAAAGAATCACAACAGCTTGGGCTGCAATTAAGGTAGGATATATCTATTCCTTTATAATCAATCAATGATAAGATGTAAAGAGCCAAAAGAGACATTTTAGGTAAGTCCACACATATCTGAAAAATACCTACCTATCAGCTATGCAAACTATAATTTTTATAGAATTTATTGCAATATTATTCATCCCTCGTCAATTGTCTCCGCATTTGCTATGCTACAAGCTTACACTTCAGTGTATTTAATTAGAATTTGCCTGAAATCAAGACATGTCAGTGCATAACTGTGAAAGTGAAATGTTCATTTGCCAATAAAAAATTCAATTTGTCATTCATGCAGTGTTGTTCAATCATCTTAAGTCAAAACTTCCTAGGATCAACTTGCTTTGCAAATACAGTCACAGAGGTAAATTATCCTTACATAATAGCTCAGATAAAAAAAAAGGAGAGCACTGGTGCATCAGCAATTTTCACACTTTGTGACATATTCAGAAATTCTCTATGAATTTCCCAGTGAGTAAAGGCATTCCATCCTAGCTCCAGCTGCATGTTTGAGTTGTTTTTTGTCATCGGAAAGTGAACCTCTGCACCATTCTCAAGTCTTTCACAACAATTGCCTAATTATTTTCTACTATTACCCGGAACTAAGCTTCATTCACAATCACACCAATGTCTGTGCAGAAGAAAAGATTTCTTGTAGAATGGTTTTGCCACCACCATATGCTGTAGTGCTTATGGGGATGTGCAGTGTTTGTTTTCCTCTATACATAGCAGTTTATGGATCAAACCCCAAAAGGAGAGTTTACACAAAAAAACTGAAGACTAATTCAAAACTGGCTTAATTTTTGACATTCTTCCATAAATGCCTGATTTGTAGATTGTACACGCAATAATGTTTCTGTCAACAGAGCTGTTAAACGTTGGAGCTCCTCCGGAGTTCACCATCCATGGCTTGTCTGCCCCGTGATTAATGATTTCCTTACCAGACCTGTCAGTTAATGTGGATGGTCATGTCTTGTTAGGTTTCACATATTGCTAAATTCTTTTCATTTATAGATGATGGATCAGACAGTGTTCCCTGATGTGTTGACAGTTTACAATATTGTTTTAAAACCTAGGTTTTTATCAATGTCATGTGGAAAATGTTCCTTAATCTTTGTCATGCTCGAAAAACTAATAAAAAAGAATCTGATGCCTTCACATAATGCTTCCTCTTTTTTTAAATTAACATTCGGTTGGACTTCATGACAATATCCCTATTTAGTCAGTTACAATGGATCATATTGAATAGTATCTGACTAATGAGTGCTGAGTATCTTAAGTTTTTCCCTTTATGGATTCTTATTTGTAAAAACAAAGGAAAAAAATTGCATCCTTTCTTTCACCACATATTTAGTTATTATTTTATAGCTCAGAAATGGGCCAATTA